ATTTTAATATTCATTTATGTTGGTCATAATTTTTTTTTTTCGCTCAATATATTCATAGGTTGCTGTTATTTTTTAAATTGCACATTTAGTTACATTTATTAAGTCTTCCAAGAACAGCATTTACTTTCCCACCAGCCAACCTCTGCCCCCCACCACATGATCTCCATGATTTGTCTCTTTCAAAATCTCGTTCAAAATGGGTTAAAGTCAATTTCGTCCCTCTACTTTCAAATTTTGTTTATAACCGTCCCATTACTACAGATTTATTCATGGTCATCCCTCTACTCCCAAAATCACACAATTGTCGTCCTCCTACTCCCTACATTTTGTTCATCGTCGTTCTTTCCTTTGCACCGTTTCTGCATCCATTAATTAATTTGGACCGTTAATTGCATCATAGTCAGCAGTTAAAACTTTTTTTTTTCCTACATGTGCTGCCAACTTGGGATTTAGTTGGAGACCATGGTTTTATATTTTGGTTTCAAATTAGGAGCCATAATATAGGGACAATATTTTTATGCCATTTTTTATACAATTTTTACATATAATTGAATGAGTAGATATATTTAATATCTTAAGTTCCAAATAAAAAAAAAATCAATCACTTAAATAACATGTAAGATTATACAAAAAGATAGTATTAAAAGGTAATACAAAGAGATGATATAAAAAAGGAGAATGCTATTGAGACAATCATTTTGTCCCACATTTTTAGACAACTTGAGGTGTCATTAAAATAATTAATTTTTTTAATTTATGTAGAACCCATGATATTGAATGCATTCATTCATTTAATGATATGTGAAAATTATACAAAAATGTGAAAAAAAAAAGATTATCACAATAGCACCATCTTATAAAAAATTATCCCTAAATCATTTTTCTTAAATCAAATCTTTTCGTTTCAATTAGTTTTATTACTTTAACCCTTTTTTTGTTCTTACCAAAACGTTCATCATCTTTGACGCTAATCTGCACCAATCAAAAAATTCATGAGATAAAAAACTCCTTTTTTCTTTTTATATATTAATTAAAATCAAACAAAGAAACAACTATAAATTAGGG